CCCCACTATCAATATTCGCCATAGACGCACAATGTGGACATTCCCACTCTCCGCCACCTCACACGCGTCAGAGCAATTATAATGTTGGATGTAAATATTATGTTGCGCCAACTGAGATTTTTTTGGATGTTGTATTTGAAATTGCTGTTTAAAAATGAATTCAGGCAGTTTGAAATTTAACAAATGAGACTTGTTTAACCACATTGTTCTGGACTCAAAAGTATGAATTACCTCCATATGGAAAGCACTGTAAAAACTTTTAAGAAACTTTATTTGTCTTTGACCCCTTTGCATTGTGACACTCAGCCCCTCCACATAATGTCTGGTGATTATCCGGAGTTCAGTGAATTCATAACAGTCTAAAAGCAGACTCTGATTCTCCTACAGGTTTAAAGAGGAACTACAATGATTCTCCGCAGAGGGTATCATTCCGCTCCAAGCAGAACATGGATTACTCCTTCCTCATCCACTACAGTGCCAGTCTTGCCCAGTACTACCTCCAGCTTGAGGATGATGTCTCCTCTGCCAAGAACTTCCTCACCACCATCAGGAGGCATGTTAAGGGGCAAGAGGCAAAGAAGATCACTTGGGCAATGCTGGAATTCTCATCCCTAGGCTACATCGGGAAACTCTACAAATCTGTCCATCTTCCTCTCCTGGTCCGTTTCCTCTTCCTCTTCTACCAGGAAATGCCCTGTGACTGGTTGATGTCTCACTTTCGAGAGCTGCTGACTCAAAAGGAGAGGATCCTCCTCAAACCATCGCTGTTTCAACATGTGGGCACTTTCTCCTCGTTCGAAGGGACATACAACAAGCTAAAGGACAAGGACTTTGAGGAGGAGTTCTACAACAACCCTGCAGCTGAAGTTTACTCTGATATGTCCGCCTACAAGAATCATGTCCCCAAACATGCCTGGGAAGCAGGGGAGGAATTCTTCTGGGGGCGTGCCCTCGAAAAAGATAATTACCTGACTGTGGTGTTAGCAGTTCCTGCAGTGGTGACAGAGATATTTGTAGAAACGGGGTCAGAAGGTAAAGACCTCCTGGAGTCCGCTCAGGTGGAGTTGGGCCATGATGTGGTTACCATCAAGAATGGTGAGAAGAATTGTACCGATCTCCAGTCAGTGGGGACAGTAGTGAATGGGAGGTTTGAGATGCATGAGGTAAACAAAAAGTATAACTCTGCTTCGTCCTGTCTGAGGATACAAGTCACAGCTGCACAGAAGGACTGGGTGATCATCAAGAAAATCCGCATAGCAACAAAACTGAGCACACCTCAACAACAAGCAGGGGTGTGACTCTCTATTCCTGTCAGACTTTTTTACCTGCCCAGTCTTGTATGCAGACTGAACTTGTGACTGTTGTGTGTAATTGAACTGGTGAAACAACAATTTAATTGCAAAGCTACCGTTAATAGGAAGAAACTCTGTGATGTGTCTCTTGAACATAATGAAGAGCATTAGTAAAAGAACATATCCACGATAAGAAAGCTTCTCCATGTGTAAAGATATTTTTATTCTTTTAAGTCCAGACTTTATACCTCAGACTGCCTTAAAGACAACCACACTTCAGATGTGGCTATTGTGTATTGTCTATTGTTTATCAGTTTTAAGGTGTGGAGGAAGGAGGAAATGAAATTCATGTGGTTATTGTAAACAATACTTGGGCGTGCTATTACAACATAAAATAATTTACTTTAAACCCTGCTGCCAGTAATCTTTTTTTAATATCCAAACAATACAACATTGTACTGTCATTCCCTTCCTGTTGTGATTGCAGTGATATGTAGTGGATTACAAATAGCACTTCTTGTAATCTTGCTGCCAATATTTTTACTGTTAAGTTACATGAAATAAGACTCACATAACTCTCTTTGCAATGTTGAACAATTGATAGAATAAGTAACCACAATAGGGGTAGAACTCACAGAGAAAGAGGAGATGTGTGCATATCGGCAATATCAAAGTCAGATTCAAAAAAATATTTTTAAAGAAGCTTTTTATATAGGATCATATATTGACTCCTTTATTATTATTATTTCAGTACAAGAAGCCATGCTAAAATAAGTCAAAACTGGTGCAATTTCTTTTTGAAGGAGGATGCTCCTGTTTCTGGTCTGGCTGCTCTCTCTGGCACGTTGCCCACTGGTCTCCCTCTGCCAGTTTGGGGCCCACTGTTGGTTTCCTCTCCAGAAGCTGGCTTATCTTCAGCTGCAGAGCACTGGCTCTCCAGCCTCTCCCTTCCTGGAGCCTGACCAGTTGGTTTGTCTTCATCGGACTGAACGACGGATCCAACCACTGCTGCCTGCGAGTCCTGGTTTTGGTTGGTGGTTGACTCGCCTCCAGTGACGGGGCAGTTCTGAGAAGCTGGACGGGCCTCTGCTGTGGGGGATGGGGTGGCACAGTCCTGCTGCATGTCCCTGTTGGTCTGAGAACAGACACATTTAAAGAAAGAACATTTAACTATTAAAAGAAAAGTAGGTTATTCTTCCTTTTACTAGTGTAAAGCTGAATTCATAAGCAATAACACACCCTTACTCATTTTAATGCCGATTTAGTGCTGCAGTCTAACGTATTCTCAAATTACCAGTAGTTTAGGTGGCTAATGTGGCTAACTTAAGCAAACTTCCAACATCCTCTACTGGGTTTGTTGACAAATTGAAATGTTAGTGTTGCCATTTGTTTTTCGCATTGATCAAGAAGTCAATCAAGTCATTCGAGTTAACTCTAGTGACCGGACTCAACCCAAAATTCACAGCACATCATTCTGAGGAAGTTAACTCAAGCACAGAGGCAGTTTCAGAAGAGTGATAGAACCCACTCATCGAGGAAAACTAACAAGGGACAAGAAACCTTAACAAATCAAGCTAAAGGTGAGCTGGGCTGAAGCTTCAGAAAAGATAAAGGGCACAGTTGAGGCAAAGCTTGAAAAGGATGGGCAACATTATCTATGACTACGGAGCGGAACATTTTGGTGACACAGCAAGAAAGAAATGCAGAGAAGGGGGATTGACATACTGCAGGAGAGCATCAAGAGCCGACTGACAAACTTAAGGAAAGTAGTGATCACTAGCATGATCTGGCACCAAATCCAATCCGCCACGAGTGAAAAGAGAGCTCTACCCGTTATCCTTCTTGATCTTGCTAATGCATTTGGTTCAGTACCACACAGCGTACTCTGGGCTGCTTTTGACTTCTTCAAAGAGCTAGAGCCCATTACAAATCTGGTTAAAGCCTACTTCTAAGATTTTACCACCATATGGCAGCGCCACGAAGTAGGTGTGAGGGCTGACATGCAGGGTGAGAGCACTGCCCTCTGTAAGTAGGGTTAGATGGAGATTTCCTGCCTTTATAAGGACAGGTGTGGGCAATCACTCTCTCTTTGCCTGAATCCTGGTAGATGTGGGGGAGGACTGCTTGGTGTGTGCAGGTAAGGGAGATCTCGGGAGAAACATTGCTTGTATGGTTTGAGTTGAAATCTAATGAGGTTTCTTGTACATCTAGTTGTAGTGAAGCTGTGTCCTGATGGATCCTGACTGATCATCTGCTGTGTAGCCCCATGGTGAAGAGGTAGGCCATAGATAACAGCCTTTGTTTGGTTAACAGCAGGCATATCACTGATAATATAATAATTGAATCCTTTTAGGAAACTCAGCCCTTGTCACCCCCTCATTTGAGCCAGAGTTGTCTGCTGACCAACCTTCCCAGTGTCTCCTTTAATCAGGGCCCCAGAGTGAGCAAGGTAATCTAAACTGGTGTGGTCGTGTAGAGGGGTTAATCCCACTTAAGTATTTTTGCCAGTTGATACACCTATGTTGACCATGTTTTCCCTCGTTGCAGACTAAGTGCCAGACTGCTGCTTTGCCTGAACCTGTTCACCTATATCGTTGGGCTTACTTGATCTCTGTTGAACTGGGCTTAATCCTAGTTCTTGTGTGAATAGTCCATGATTTGTATATTGTTCGACTGCTATACTGTCCATAGTTAGATTAATCCATGTCTTTCTCACCTCTGTGAAGCTGAACCCATTGCAATTAATTGGTTTTATTCCTTTATCGGCAGTGTGACAAGCTGCAGGGAGTACGTGTGGGATCCACCTACTTGCATGCAGTGTGGTAATGGTGATTGTCACTTGAGTGGCTTGTAGATTTGTTTCCCCTTGCTGTGTAAGTTGTAGTGCTAGTGATCAGTGTGTTCACATGGTAACTATTGGGGTCTACGATAGAATCTCCCCGCGGGGAGTACCCTGCATACTTACTAGCTACTATCAAATGCCATTTGATATTGTAGCTTGTATTTTTAGCTGTTAATTGTTTTAGCTAATTATTAATATGAAATGAAAGGTTTTGTCTTCAACTTATCGTTTTCTCTTTCTCTCAGGAATTCCAACAAAAATTCTATTTTTAAATAAATAATCTTGTTGTGAACTGAATGTACGTTGCCTGCTCTCCTTGAACAAATCAAATCAAAAATCAAGGAGCATCTATATAAGCAAAGGTAAGAGATCAGATCATAGCTTCTACATTAATGGAGAACCCATTCCAACAGTGTCTGAGAAACCTATACAAAGTCTTGGACGATGCAGCAACTTGAAGCAGGACAGTGGCCTTAAGAACATCCACCAGTGCATACGTCCTGGCAAGCTAAAGCCCTGGTGCTTACAGTTTGGCCTGTTACCCTGATGGATGTGGCCACTTACAGTAGTTGACATTCCTATCACAAGAGTTGAGAACATGGAGAGAATGATAAATTCCCTTGTGAGAAGTGAGTCTCAAGATGTCTGAGCAACATTGACCTGTATGGAATCTACAACCTAGAGCTGCTTATCTCAAGTCTTGTAGGCAAAACATGCTTAAGATGACTCTCTCAGAGTCCCGAGAAAAATCGATATGGGCTGTTAGACCATCATTCACAACAGGATGGAAATGGACACCAAAAGCAGCAACTCAACAAGCAAAAGCAGCACTCAAGCACGCTGACATTGTGGGCCATGTTAAACAGGGAAGAGGAGGTGATGAAATGGGAGAGCATAGAGAAAAGAAAGATGAGCTGGAAGGACATGTTTGGAATGAAAGCAAAAATAAGCTTTTGACGTTCCAAAAACCTACAGCAGTGGCTGAACGAAGATCCATGCTGCCCACTATGCTCAACTCCAGCTACACTCAGGCACATCCTCACTGGTTGTAAAATAAGTCTCTCCCAAGGTAGATATACATGGAGACACAACCAGGTTCTCAAATGCCCTGCAGCAACAATAGAAACAAATGGAACTGCCACCAATGCCTTGCCATCCAAAACATCAAGTGTAGTTCAAAGGCCAACTTTTGTCCATGAGGGGGAACAGGGACAGAGACGGCCTCCTCCACTGACCAGGAGTGGTCAGTTGGTACACAACAGAGACTGGGAGATGTTGGACGTGGGCCAGTGGCTTACAGTCCCGTCACATATTGTCATCACCAGACCTGATACTCTGGTCCAACATCCTATCCTGCACGTTGTCTATTTCTTAGAATTGACAGTACCCTGGGAGGATGCTGTTGAAGTGATTGAGAGGAAAAGGCTGCAGTATGCAGACATGGCATTTGAGGCAGATCAACGAGGCTAGAAAGCAATAGTTTGCCCTGTGGAGGTTGGATGCAGGAGTTTCCTTGCAACATCCACCATCAGGTTGCTCAAAGATCTGGGGATCCACAGACAAGCCCTGTGCCAGACCATAAAAGAAACATCACACACTGCAGAACACTGCAGTCAATGGCTCTGGATCAGGAGGAAAGATCCAAACTGGGCTCCAAGATGTTATGGACATCCACCCAGGTCTGATCAACCTGCAGTGGGCCTGCCTTAGGAGAGGGTGTCTTGTGATGGAAAGGTCGAAAAACCTGATGACGCTAAGGTACACAACTGAATATATGTCACTAACATCCGCTGGTGGTAGGTATTAATTACTGCAGTAGAACGTCCAAGGGATATTCTCCATCTTGTCATATGTTCTAAAATGGGAAAGCATTTAGTTTAAAAGGCATAAAGAGGTAATGATGTCTGATCTACCAAAACACTTGATTTAAACACTTTGAACACTTAAATTGTGCAGAAGTCCCTCAAATGTACAAGTGATATTCAACATCTTGTCCTATATTCTAAAAAAAATTGTATAGTTATTATTGTCTTAGTTTGGTAAAACCAGTAGCTAATGCAGGCTAATATGTGAGCAAACATCAGATTGATACAATCGAATAGGAAATGCAATACTAAATATATAGTATTTAATACCATTGATAATCAAAACAATAAAAGCATTTGGATATCAATCTGTTTAAACAGAATGAAGCAGTTCTATAATTCAATAATAATTAATACTTAACACTTTATTTCAACAAAATGACCTTTTAAAAATGTGGAACACATTTTTATATTGTTTCAAATCACTTAAAGTTGGTACATTCTATCGTTGAGTTTTCATTTTGTAGAATCTGTAACAGCACTCCTGAAAGGCAGATATGCACCACAGACATTTTGCATGCAGAGCCATCGGAGAGAGCTTTTGTTGCAGGTCTTTTCCTGAGGCAACACTCAACCTAATTCCTGCCACAGAGACATGGAAACATATACCTCAGTAACTAGACACACAGTTTCTCTAGTTACTGGGGTGCACAAAAAAGCCAGTAAGCCTATTACCCTGCACACCAGCATATACCCAGAAGCGGGATATTGCTTTCACTTCTGCGTGTCTGCCACAGGGCGGCTGTGGCTGAGGGGTAGAGTGGTCGACCAGAAGGTCATCGGTTCTATCCCAAGTGTCCTTGGACAAGATGCTGGACCCCAAATTGCCCCTCATAGAAAAAAAAGTGCTGCTAATAGATGCACTGTATGATTGTGTGTGTGAATGGGTGAATGGCAAACTGTACTGTGTGGTGGCAATTTCTGTGAAACAAGCACAAAGTCAAACACTTCTTTCTGAAAGTTTAATTCAGCATCTGCAGATGGACTCACAGTACACATCACCTGGATGACATGCACAAATGAGCCAAGAACATGGAGAATCTGTGCACTTATTACTCACAGCCCCCTCCCACTAAGCATGCAAAGGTATTTATTACAGTCCTGTAGTTTCACCCAGTGGAGGACACATCCTGTCCATATGTGTTTACATGTTCGTGGATGACCCCCCAAAAGTGAGACCCCAGGTGTGAGATCCCAACCAGAGATACCATGAGAAACCATAAAGTTATGGCTTCTCAAGGCCACAATTTAAAGTCTCTTGAGCCGTCGTAAACCCTAAAGTTGCCCTTTAACATAAACAATTAGGTCAGTCCTCCATATACATGTCTGCTCATGCAAATATTCATACACAAAAGAAAAATTTCCAATGCAACTGTAAAGCGCTTTGAGTGGTCATCAAGACTAGAAAAGCTCTATATACAGTAAATACAAACCATTTACCATTAGAAGATTATAGACAAGATGGTGAATGCCCCTTGCAAGTTTGAAGGTCTTCTGCGCAATTTAAGTTACCAACTACCATTAGATGTTAGGTACGTAACTTAAAGGTCCAGTGTGTAAGATTTAGGTGAAAAGGATCTATTGGCAGAAATTGAATGTAAAATAATCCTAGTGTTGTTTTCACTGGTGTGTTTCATCTAAATTGTATGAATAGTTGTTTTCTCTACCATAGAATGGGCCAGTTGATGTTATTGGATGTTAGGGACATGTGTACCTTAGCGTCATCAGGTGTTTCAGCCTTTCAATCACAAGACTCCCTCTTGGCCCACTGTAGGTTGATCAGACCTGGGTGCATGTCCCTAGCATCTTGGGGCCCAGTTTGGAGCTTTCCTCCTGATCCAGAGCCATTGGCTGCAGCGTTCTGCAGTGTGTGTTGTTCCTTTTATGGTCTGGCAATAGATCTGGATCCCCAGATCACTAAACATCTCAGAGAAACACTGTCTGACCAGATCGTCACCTTGGATGGTGTCAGTTTGGCCTCCAGCTCCACTGTGAGGAACCTTGGAGTTATGTTTGACCAGGACATGTCATTTAACCAACACATAAAACAAGTCTCTAGGACAGCTTTCTTCCACCTGTGCAATATTGTAAAAATTAGAAACATCCTGTCTCAGAAGGATGCTGAGAATCTAGTCCACACATGTGTTAACTCTAGACTAGATTACTGTAACTCTTTATTATCAGGATGCCCCAGGAAATCTATAAAAAGTCTCCAGTTGGTCCAAAATGCTGCAGCACGAGTGCTGACAGGAACTAGAAGGAGAGATCATATTACTCCTGTCTTAGCTTCTCTACATTGGCTCCCTGTACAATTCAGAATAGAATTCAAGATCCTGCTCCTCACATTTAAAGCCCTTAACAATCAAGCCCCTTCATATATCAAAGAG